TTAATCCCTGTGGGGACATTCAGTGGTTTAACAGCAACAGGTAAGATTGAAAAACAGGACAGCACAGATTCACACAGATTAATACAATTAAGGATAAATCAAAGGTAAAAAAAAAAGAAGATAAATAACTATAAAATAAGAAATTTATTAAAATGAACATATATAGATATACTGTAAAGTAGCATTTAACCGTATAATAAACGTATTATATTCTTTGCAAGCTCTTGCGGGCCACATAAAATGAAGTCGCGGGCCGGATTTGGCCCCCGGGCCTTGAGTTTGACACCCCTGATATAGAGGATATACATATTTATATTCTGTATTCGGGATTGTTGGAAACGTTATTTCGCTCTCTCTGTACAAACACACAGGAGAAAACAAATTGACATTAAAGTTGACTTTGACTTTGACTAAATCCACGTAGCACAAGAGATGGAAACATTCATATTTGTCGTCCGGATTACAGAATTGACCAGAAGTCGTCACAGTCTCGGCGGCGTGTGGCGCAGTGGACTAGTGCGTGGTTCAGGTTCAAACCCCACTGCAGTCAGCATGTCGTTGTGTCCCTGAGACACTTCACCCCAAAGTGCTCCTGTGGGGATTGCCCACAGTACTGAGTATGTGAGGCACTTTGAATAAAAGCGTCTAACAAGCAACATGTAATGTAATGTCTCTGTGTCCCGCTGCACGTTTACACAACACTGTGGCCACACTCTTATCATCAAACAAGACTAAAAGAATGAACGTCCTCCAATATTTAAACTTTTCATTGATCAGATAACACATTTTTTACCTCTGGAGAAAATGACATTGGAAAAATATAATCATGGACGTATCTTTCAAGCTCTGTGGTTGCCATTGTTTTTATATTTGGAAAATATATCTGAGATATGAGCAGTGATGGAATGGTGCATTCTGTGGCTATTTTTCCTGACGGCCGGAAATACTAGTTGTGTTGTCATTGTCTATATTGTCGCTGTATTGTTTAATTAATTGTATAATTATTTGTTTGTTTTACTTTGATGTGGGCTTATTATTATTTATTTTTATTTTCGTTTTATGTTTATTTTCATGGCTCTGTTGTTTAAGTTATATTGAGAAGCATTTTTTTTTAATTTTTTTTTTTATAAATGTTTTTGGTTTCGTTAGTGTGGGCATGTGCGGGTGTAGTGAGTGTACTGTGATATTACAATATATGAAATGGCATCGATTATTGTACACTATAATGAAATAAAAAGACTTGTAAAAAAACAAGACTAAACTTGTGCAGAAAGAGACGAGGTGTGAAACTCGTGAACTGGAGCCATTTCTGGGGAACTTCTCAGTTGGGAAGAGTTGTGTGCTTTTGTTTCATTGCTGCCGGTTTAAACATGATTCATGATGATGAAGCAGTGTGTTGTGGGACCACGAAACATCTTGAAAAAGTCCATGCAGGCCTACTATACATGCATTTTCAGGAGATTGCCCCAAAATGTAGGTTAATTATTAAAGGTATTCTTTCTCACATTTCTTATCTTATTGCTGCCATCATGAGGATATTTTAATTGAACTGTGAACTTGAATATGAGCAATGAAGAATATTAAGGAGGCAAAACAGCTTTCTATTTACAGATGTATTGTTGCTATATTATTATTATTATTATTATTATTATGAAGTAAAAGGAAATAAGTACCACATCATTTGCGATCTCATAAACCACAACATGGCAAAACTGGGAGTTTCATTTCTCTACATTTGAAAAGAAAGTGAAGGATTTCTGGACGGTTTAACGGACTGTAATATTTAGTTAAAATAACAGACTTGGGTTCATTGACAGACGTTCATTTAGTTAAGACAAGCCCGGCTATTTAAACGTACTAGGATATCTAAGACGTTTCCAAACCATGTCCGGGAAAGCATCAACTCCTAGTCTAATGTGTATCCTGTATGTTCACCTTTGCCATGTTGATTCAGAACGAAACTCAAAGAAAGACAACAGTCATAAAAAAGTATTATTTATTAATCTTCTCACTCTTTTGGAATACCCAGACTTTGTACCTTCTCATGATAAAGTGCCTTTTAAAAGAAATCGGAAATGTGGCCGTGTAATAAATCAGTCTCACTTGAATTGTTAACGATCTGGACCGGAGAGTATTACAGTATTTAGTTATTGATTTAACCACTTCTGCAGGAACAGGAAGACGTAGTCGCGGGCCAGAGCCAGCTGGGGGAGATCCTCGCTGCGCGCCGGGTACATGTTGGCACAGTGGGCTGTTCCTGGATCAGAGGAACAACGTTAGTATGAAGGATAGGGCAGAGAATGAACAGTAACACTGAGATGGTCTGGGATACGAGATCAATTATGCACCCAATAAAGTTTCAATCGAACACGCTTGGCTGCTGTCGTGCGAAGCAATCACAGAGAAACTGAGTTTAGTCATTTTGAGCTGGAAACATCTGCAAGGTTTCACGTTTAAAGCTCCCTTTATGGTCTAATCACAAATGTGTACAGATTTCCCCCTGTCAAATAATCAAGTGTATTAACTGTGTACACATTTTAATGGACACTTTCGGTTAGTCAGCATTTCTAGACTTTCCCAAAATTCCCGCGGTTCATAGCTTTTCACACGTTGAAGCAGCAACAAATAACTTCCCCCCCCCCGTACCTTTTAAAGAATAATTTATGTTGAAGCCACCGTTCCACCTTTCTGCTTTTTAATCAAACTTAGTTAGTTAGATGTTATTTAGATGTCTGGAGCCATCTGGATCAACAAATCATCAAATACTTGCTAATAGCTTGATAGCAAAGATGTCACCGTTGTAAAATTACTTTTTTTTATTAGACTGTCATTATTATAATCATTTTAAAGGGCCAGTATGTAGTATTTATAATGATCAATCAGCCAAAATGGAATAAAATATTCACAATTAGGTTTTCATTAGCGTATAACCAAATTAAACTAATAAACAGTGTTTTTCGTTCCCTTAATGCAGTGGTGGGGGGGCGCCAAAGATCGCAGGGGGGGGCGCCAGGCGTTGATTTCTTTTTTATACGTATAATTGTAACACATGATTGTCACTAAAAGCCTTGTCTCTACGTTACAATAAAATATAAAAAATAATTAATTAATTAATTTGAATAAAAATTCAAGTTCGTATTAAAGGCATAAAAAGACAGAAATGTATAATTCTGTCTTTAATAGAAATGTTTCTTCTGCCCGTAAAGTGTCCAAACCAGGCTTTTCTGGATAAGCGCATTTTTAAAACAGTCATTGTCCATACCGGTTTCAGTAGGATTATTTGTCACAGTTGCTCCGATCAGATCGGTCTCCTCCATTTTGTAGATTATTTACGGCTTTTGAATCCACATAAACACATCGGTAAAATCCGGCTTACTTTGAGCATGTGTTTAATTTTAATTTTTTTTAAACAGTTTAATCCCTTTGTGAATTGTTTCCACTTCCGCCGTCCTTTAATTTATTCATACAGCGGGAATCCAAATGAATTAATCCTGAGTCCAATAACCATCAAAGTCACTCCAATAGTGCTCCTTAGTTACGCTTTCGTCCTCCTTTAACAAAATACTTCACATTCATCCAGTTTGAAACCCCCCCCCCTTGTGTGTGTGTGGGGGGCGTTTTTATTCAAATGTTGGCTTTTTAGAGGGCCTTTCATGTGGTCATCTTACCTGAAGGCCATTACAAAGTATTTTAAAACTGCGGTCACACCAGCCCCCACCCTCCTAAAGTATTGTTATGGTAAGGATGGCTTTTGTCCTTTTTAAATCCCATTGCTAGATAACATATCCACTTGTTTTTCGAGCTGTAAAGTCACAGTGCTTTTTACTTCACTTCCCTTTAAGTGTTTCATTCACCTTTGATGAACACAGCGGGCAGGTCGGGGCTGATGTCCTGCGTGACCCCCAGGGCGTGCCAGGGGTCGATGGATCCGTTGGGAAGAACGATTCTGGAGGAGCGGATGTTATAGCCTCCGTAGTATTCGTTGGTCTCAGCCACGGCCTCCGCTAGCTGATCAGCACTGACGTTAAAGAAGTCTGCACACTGCTGCACGTGGTACCTGCACCAGAAAACACACAGCTTATCTTGGAGGTTATGTCAATTCAAAATAACACCCCAAGTGGAAATGAGACCTGTGTTTAGTCAAATGATAACACGACATTTTGTTGATTAGAGATCTGTTCAGAAGAAATGTGATATTCAAGCGGCCATACTTTCTCCTCTGTTAGTGGAATCACTCATTTTCTAAACATTATGCTTTGTATCCACGTGTCCAAATCAAAACAGTTCATTGGAGGTATATACAAACAGGAAAATGAACAATGCATGATGATTATTTTGTTTGGTTTGGCTTGGTCCACATCAACTTATATAACTCGAACACGTGAGACATTGTTCTGCTCTGTTAAACCTTTTATGGTCCAAACACAACTGTCTACAGAGGTCCCCCTGTCAATGAATCAAGTGTATGAATGTTGTCTACATTTCGAGCCCTTTACCCACACTTTCTGTGAGTCAGCGTGTCTGCAGACTTTCCTTTAGCCACATTTCCACGGCTCATCGCTTTGTGACGTCGAAGCAGCAACAAATAACTTTTCCTGGAAGAATGAATGCAGATGCCACTGTTTCTGTTTCCCTCAGAGCTAACATCAGCACTGACGTTAAAGAGGTGATACCTGCACCGGAACACACGGTAACCATGGGAACACTGGGAGGAAAATGGACAAACCACAATGTTTTTTTAGTTTAGTTTGGCTTGGTCGACTTCCACTATTCCACTATACTTGCACAATAACTTGATAGTTGTCATCCCTTCACGATACAAATATCAACATATTAAATCAACAACAATATGTAATTTCTTTCAGATTGCGACAGACTATAGCGAACTAACTGCGGACCAACGATTGAACATTAAAAAGAACGGCTCTCACCAAGTACGTCTCGGTTCCCCTCGTTCGTACCGAAGAGCCGTTCAAAATAATTGGCTCGTTCGCGACCGACACATCACTACAAACTATTACCGATGAATAAGCTAAGGCCTTAGAGCAGGGGTGTCAAACTCAAGGCCCGGGGGCCACATCCGGCCCGCGACTTCATTTTCTGTGGCCCACAACAACTCTGAAAGAATGTTTATTATACGGTTATATGGTGATTTACAGAAGCACGTTGCCCATAAACTACATGTCCCACAATGCATCTGAAATTGGACTTTTATCTTTGAATTTGCCTTTTTCTCCAAAATGTTATTTCTTTTACTTTTTTTCTTCAGAATTTGGCTTTTCTTTTAAAATTATTTTGTGATGTGCGCACTGAAGAGACTTGCAATTACTTTCCCTAGACTTCTGCTTTCAGACGTAGTTAATTATGAAGTTATTCCCCTATCCGATAACAATCCAATGCAGAGGCATAATGTCATATAATACATTATTTTATATTAAATATTTATATATGTGTTTTTATATAGTCTTAAAGTTACAACCGGCCCTTTGAGTGCAGCCATAATTCCTACGTGGCCCGTGATGAAATTGAGTTTGACACCCCTGCCTTAGAGTATAACCTCAACACTTGTTTACATTATTTCATAATTATTTTTGCTCAATTATCAATAAATAGACACCGAAAACTAAATAAATAAAAAATACCTTACAGTATATATATTATCTTTAAAAAAAATCTCATTAAAGGTGGGGTAGGTAACTCACATCAGAAACACTTGTTGTTATATTCCATGGAATGCTCTTAACATCCCGATAGCAATGAATACATTAAATGCTTTGACAATAAATACATAAATAAATATCATCTGTGGAAGCCGTGGCGCTGTAAAAAGCACGACCAATCATCTGAGCCGGCTAAAGTAACTGGATGGCCTACCTGCCTGTCAGCCTTCCATCTGTGCACAAACTTATCTCGTGCTCTCATTGGTCATGTGCGCGTTCGTGTGTGTTGAAGGAAGGGGCAGATTGTTTTCTAGCTTACTCGAGCTGGTTTCTCCATTCTTACCTACCCTACCTTTAAGTGAGACAATTTGAATAAGATAAACTAAATAACATATATGTATATTATATATTTCCAAAAAGTCCCAAAAATGTTTTTTATATATACAAAAGCGATTCATTTATTACATTAACATTATTTATTTTACATCTGACGTTTTCATATTAGTTATTTAAAGATGTAACTCTTTTTTAAAACAGATTAAGTGTATTAGACATTTTAATTTCCTTCTCTCTGCTGTGGTAATAATGGTCCAGGGGAGCAGGTGCCGGGGAGAAAAGATTTATTAAGACTTAATTATTCAGAGAAAATGTTTGATGTACTCACTTCAGAGGGAAGCCGCTGAACGGTTGGTCCGGTGAATCGGTGCTCTGGTAAAATCCAAATTCAGTGCAGGTCTGGTAGACCCACTGTCTCCCTGACGACACACACACACACAATTAATTTGGGAATTACATTTGAAGAAGCCGCTAAAAAGTGATTGTATTATATTAACAAACATATCTTATGAATGTGTTTGCTGTACACCAATACAATCAGCTTCCTCCTTAACCATTGAGTCATGTTTGCAATAAATGAGGGTATTTATTCGTTCCCACAAGTCGAATGAAGTCCATTTTAGTTAATGGAATCAAAAGGAGTTACCAACACAGTGCAGGTATTTCTACTATGAGTTTCAAATGGATTTATTTCACACTGAAGTCTTTACTCTCAGCCCCAATTAGCAGGAAGAGAGGGGGTTTACAGTATGTGGACACGTCCCAGAGGCTTTTTAAGAGACCACTTCCTGTTTGAGTGATCCCAATCCACATGAAACTGGAACAACATCCCGGGGCGGATGGGGGGAATAAATAGAAACCCATTTCAGGTTAAACATGTTAAGGCGTTACTCGATGCTGAATCCATGAAAGACCTGATTTCCCCCAAATCTTCCAAAGCAGGATTACTGGTATTACAGAAAATAACATCTAAGATTCAGACGCTCAACTCGTGCATTATCATCCGCCAAGAAATACTGTATTTGTTCATTTTAATATATTTTAATTTGAGTCTAAAACCCATACAAATCTTCATTTTGTTGCGTTTTTTAAAGATTCCTCAAATTTAAGATGTATTGTGTGTTGGACCAGCAATCTGAGGACTAAGAAAATATGTTTTAATCCACAAAAGTACTCTTAGTTATTTGTTAATACATTTGAATTAAGTAATAATAATTATAGTAATAAATATTGTAATATTACAGATTTTATTTATTTATTTTGTCCATTTACTGTATTTTCTCTTTTTCTGATGGATTGTTGTCTAGTTCTTTCTTTTATTTATTTTTTGAACTGTATACATTTTGTATTTTTAACCATATTATTTCTTAAAATGTAAAAAAATAAAAGATAATTTTCTACAATACAATTTTTAGTCTTCCCTAAAAAAGAAAGCAAAAAAAGGTAAAGAAAAGTAAGAGTCCCGGAAACCAATGGGTGCCAAACTACATGAGGAACAATTCTAAATAAGAATAACATAAGAGGACATGTATTTAGTTTACATATGACTTCCCTGTGTGAGACCGAATCTGTGTCATAAGAACACAACAAATCCAAAAATAAAAAGGGACTAGAAACACACACACACACACACACACACACACACACACACACACACACACACACACACACACACGCACACACACACACACACACACACACAGACACACACACACACACCTCCTCCTGCGGCCGGCCCCTCCCATGATGCATTAGTCATCTCCTTCAGGTAGGAGTTGAAGCTGACGTCCAGACATTTAACGGAGAAAGTCTCCATCATGAAGCGAGCCACGGCGGCGTAACGTTGGTACGGATCCCCGAGCGAGGAGACAGACATCACCTCACACAGAACCTTGATGGTGATGTTGGTGCCCGTCACTCCCTGAAAATACAGAGAGAAGAAGAAGGTTGAAGCAGTTTGATCCACATTTTCATTCAATTTACACACGGCCTCACGTCTGTCCGTCCTGGGAGAGGGATCCCTCCTCTGTTGCTCTCCCTGAGGTTTCTCCCATGTTCCCCTTTAAACTGTGGGGTTTCTCTAGAAGTGTTTCCTTGTACGATGTGAGGGTCTAAGGACAGAGGGTGCCGTATTGTCATACTGATATTCTGTACAAACTGTGAAGTCCACTGACACTAATGTAACATGTGTGATATTGGGCTATATAAATAAACCATTGATTGATTGATCAGAAGGTAGGAAACTAAAGAGATGGAAAAGGAGGAGAGACCGAGCTAA